GTACTAAAGGAAACCTGGGCAAACAGATATTCTATGTTAGGGACGTCTGAAGGAGGAGATTTTAGAAGGACTTTGGCCGTCAAACTGTCATGTATGAACAATCCCACACCTCCACCTGTTCGTTCCATTCGATCATGACGGAAAAGGGTATAGTTGGGTAAGGAAACGGATAGGGAGGGAATATCAGGTTTGAGCCAAGTTTCTGAAACGGCTATGATATGATGGAACTTATGGTGAAAATAATCGAGGAATTTGCCATAATGTGCTAGAAGGGATTGGGAGTTAACGTGACAGGATATTAAGGTATTAGTCATGAAGAGGTCAGGGTAAGGAAAATCTGAGGAGTGTGACAAAATGGTTTTAATATTGATGGAATAGGCACATTTTTAAACTTACATAATGAGATATAACAAATTATGTACATTATATTGATATAGATCTTACTTGAAATCTTTAAATGAAGGTAAGCATAGAAAAAATTAAAATCTGATTCGAAGTAAAATAAGAAAATTTCATCTTTAAAAAAAATACTTAATAAGCAATAGAATAAATTATTATGAACTATAGAAACAAAAAAGACCAATAACATATTTAAAAAAGAAAAATAAAATAAAAGATATTCATAAAAAAGAGGTTGGAGGGAACAGTGAGACCTATTTCATTCCAGCAATTCAATGTCTTCCTTTTTGTTGACGATGATGACCGGGGATCCATCCTGTCTTCTGTATCGTACCTTTCCTCCAGCAAATCACATGTATCTCAGCATACCCGGCGCCCTTTTCTACCTTGACAACCAGTATAAATGCTTATTACCTGGACTCATTTCTTCGCCCAGATAAATTCTCTCGTCGCTGTGCCGGCCCAGATGACGCATGGAAAAGTCCCTCTTGACCTTGCGCAAGCGGATGACTTTGTCACGCACCGTCCGGCGGACGAACCGCACGACGATTGGCGGTGGCCTAGGGTCCTCTTTTCTAGTCCTTTTCCTCTCCACAAAATCCAGGTCTTCAACACCCAGCTTTATGCCCAGAGCTGCACCGATAGAGCACACCAAGCCCTCGGTAGATTCTCCAGCATTGGGTGTGATACCTCGTATTTCCAGGGAGTTGGATAGTTGAGCTTGTTCTGTTTGGTTAAGTCTCACCTCCAGGTTGCTAATTTGAGATTTTAACTGTTTATTCTCACTGAGTAAATTTTCTATTATTTTCTCTTGCTTCAATGCCATCTCTTCTATTTTTTTTAAGTCTCTCACTATTTTCGAATGCGAGATCGCTTTGCTTTCCGAGCGAGGCTTTAACTTCCTTTATATCAGGTAACGGGACAGGTAGCCGTAGTGGGGTTAAGCGCCTTATCTTACGCTCGGCTATATCACAACAATTTTAAATTGTTTTCTTACCTTATATTGTTTTTAGGTATTGATGATTTAGTTCAAAAGTTAATATTAATCGCCAATGCAATTAACATTAACAGCACTTTAAATATTTTAGTGATGGTGAACTGAACTGTAATAGCACAACTTGAAATTAAACACGAACAACGATGCTATCTTTTTGAAGGCTAGGACCAGACTGACTTAGGTGTTGTCACCGAACCCCATATGCCAGAAATGGCCAGGTAGGGGGATAAAAAAAAAAAGGTTAATGGAATCAAAGGCTTTAGAGAAGTCAAGAAGTATAAGGACAGTTAATTGTTTATTATCTATTGCAGTCTGAAAATCATTGGTAATTTTGAATTTGAATTTGAAGGCGGATTGTGTGGAGTAGCCGGGACGGAAACCAGATTGGAGAGGATCAAGTTTTCGAGGAAATTGGAAACTTGGGATTGCAATAATCTTTCTAGGGGTTTTGAGAGATTGGAAAGAATTGAGATTGGGCGAAAGTCTTCGGGAGAGGATGGATTAGGCTTTTTATTTAAAGGGAGTACAATGGCTTTTTTCCAAGAGGTAGGGAATATTGAGTTCTGTAGGAAGAAATTGTAGATGGAGAACTGGGAGGATTTCGGGGAGACATAATTTTATCAATTGACAGGAATGCCATCTGGTCCTATGGAATTGGTGTGGGATTTCATTACTGCAATTAGTAAGTAATGGAAATGTCGGAGAAATAAAAGTCATCATCATTAAATGATGACTCAGGAGCAAAGTTGGAAGAGGAGGGAAGAGAAGAGGTAGAGGAGGCAGAAATAAAATGTGAATTTAAATAGTCAGGTGAAACAGGAAAGACCAGTGAAGAAGGGGATCTGGAAGGTTCACAGAGGGAAAGTTTGCAAAGGATTAGCCATTTAGATTTGGGATCTGGGGCAGATGAAAGGGCTTCATGGAAGTAGGAAGCTTTAGTTCGCCGAATTCTTGTTTGTGTCAAGTTGCGGAGCACCCTAAACGCTTGATAGTCATCTGTAAGCCTGGTACGTCTAAAGCGTCTACGGGCAGCATCATGCCTCTTCTGCAGATCCTTAATTTCTTGACACATCCAAGGTGCAGGCCGGCGGCGAAAGGTCGAGGTTTTTATGGGAGCATGGGTGTTAAGGATATTGAGGAGATTGGAAGTCAGGTTCTCAACCATGGAGTCGATGGAGGAGCAGGAATATATTTTGTTCAAGTCTAAGGTTTCAAGGTCAGGTAGTATTTTTTCATGGGTGAGTGTCTATCTGACGGAAAGTGAAGGTTCTGGGATGAATCAGAGACATTTGGATCATGTCGTGAGACGATAAGAAGGATACTGGCAGTTGAGAAGAGGAGAGGAGATTTAGTTCGGAGTCTATAATGAAGAAATCTAACCAAGTGTCGGCCTTGCGGGTGTGGTGAGTAGGATAAAAAGGAACAATAAAGAGATGAAGGGAAAAAAATAGGTTTTCTAGAAACATACCTGTAGATTCTAGATACATAATAGACATACATACCTGAACTTACAAACAAAATTAAGGATGTGTTTAAAAATCAGAAATCAAACTTGAACAATACAATAATAAAAACTGGGAAGGTACATTACTAATACAAAAGACAGAATAAACTCATTAGATAAAAAAATATAATTTACAAATTAAACTGTCAAAATTGTCCCAAAATTTACATTGGTGAAACATCCAAACACTTAAGGACCAGAATTTCACAGCACATTACCAACTGCAAAAATAAAGAAACATAAACTCCACAGCTTTAAAATACCATAGTAAAAAATTACAACATAAATTCAATTTCAATAAACCACAATTAATAGGCACAGAACCAAAAAACAACAATAGAAAATTACTCGAAGCCATCCACATCACAAAAAACAACAGAACAACAGTAAATTACAAAACAGACACTAAACATTTGGGAACACACTATGCAGCTATCTTAAATAAAATTAAAATATAGTAAAACTGGAATGCATATATGTAACAAACAGTCATTGAATAACAATAGTAAGTAACAAGTAACAAGAGTAAATAATTAGATCCAAAGGTTAATAGTATCCCCATAGCAGACACCCAATTATTAGTTCTAGGAATGTTAATGCTCCAGATATATATATATATATATATATATATATATATATATATATATATATACATATAAAATTTTTACAGTATATTTTTATTATATTTATAACACATAAATTTCAAATCATGACAGGAGCACATCAGACTTTAGGTAATTATAACATTTTATGTAACAGCACCACTTTAACATGTATTGTAACATGCATTCTTTTTTAATTAACTCTTTTCTAGCCATAAATTGCTACGAAAGTATGGACTTTAAGTTTTGAAGATGGGAATAATTTTCCCAGAACATCAACATGACATGTAAATCAACAAATAAACCAATTGTTTATATACCTGGAAGTTTTCATTGCCTAAAATAAACTCTATAATTTTAATTGAATGAATATGGTGCTGAACACTATTAAGTTTCTCTTATTACTTTACATAAGCTAGTAAAAAGATTATCTGAGACTGTTCAATGGTATCCAACCTGATTTAAAAGTAGTAGAGTATGTCCGTTCTAATCTATTCTATGTTCTATGGTTGATAGTGGCCATGATAACCTACATTTTCTTTTATGCAGCGATGAGTGATAAGACATGGGACCTTGAATATATTGGCTTATAGAGGACCGATGCGATGCTGACCATATATCATTGGATTGCCTTGAGAGTAATCAGCATTTTTCATACAATCTCAGTTAGAGGTCCATCCCCAAGGAGAGGAGGCACTTATACAATATATATAACTGCTTTCCGAGAACCAAAGAAGGAAAGGAGAAAGACATCAACAACGCTAGAGTATGGTATTGAACGGGAGGACAACCTTCAAGCCGTTTTAACATTTCCAAACCTAGGTGGATAGGGAGGTCTATCCAGTAGTAAACAAGACATGGTTGCTTTCAAACTTACATACACATTTAAGCTGGACAATACAGCAGAATACACAGTGTGCTTAACAATAGAAGAGAATTTAGAATATGTTTTGCAAGTCAATGTCTAACAGCCCAGACTATCATGCAGTTGATGAAAGAGAAGAAGGAAAGGTGAGCCAGGAGTGATCCTTACACAGTCACTCTTCCTCCATGATGTATTGCCTAAAGGTGGAACTTTGAGCTCTTCCACCACTAGGAGATTTTTCATCAACAATTGCCTATCTCTAATGTATTATTAAAAGTTAAATTTTACTCAAAAAAGTAATCTGTTAACAATTTTTTAGTGCTCAATGGAGAATAATTCAATATGTTAATTGAAATAAATGAAAAATACAATAAGTCAAGGACACCAATCTAGTAATATTTTATTGGAAATCAATAATCAAAAATGTAAAAAATTATTTAAAAAGTAAAACACTAGTTTATATAATAAGCCTTAGTAGCCATAATTATTAATTCTATAAATTGGCAAACCCATGTATAATATAATAAATTAGTGACAACAAAATAATTTAGCTGCAGTTATATAAAGAAATAGGATGTAATAGTAATAAAATCTTGTTTTAAAAATGACCTTTAGTAATTCCATGTTACTTACATTAAGCAATTTCTCGAAACAAAGGTTCTTTGTTTAGTTGTTTTAAATAACTTCAAGAACTGGGATCATGTAGGCAACCTGAAAGTTAATCTTTTGTTTATAAAATAAATTTCTTAAAATCATCATTAAATGGTATGATTAATAAATAATTTATGACTGAATTCATGTTTAAATTATAATTTGTGGTTCATTCTTGAAAATATAATTTCACTAAAGGAGAAAAACCAGCTATCATTAAGTCTAAGACAATTGATTTTCAAATAAATTGTAGATGAATAGAATCATTAACTGAAAAGTGGACATAGAATAAGTGAAAGAAAAAAAAAAATAGAAAATGTAAAGAAAAGAAATAAGTATACATACACAACTTAACACTTATAGAGCTCATACAAACTTTCATATGATTAAAAGCATGTATAACAAATCAAAATTGAAGATAGTATATACGACATGAATTGAGAGAAATCTACAAGGTAATGATTAAAAAAACTATTAACCTCAAAATCTTTTTACCTATTATTCATATTAAATAGGGCATAATGAAACAATTATGGCTATTGCATGCCATAATCATCCAGGAGCCGACAACCCCCCCTCCACAGATTTTATTGAAAAATTATACATTATTAAGTAAATGCATAAATAAAAAAAATTCCCAATTTTATACAATTATGAAAAGAAATTTTAAAAATCTGGTCATTTAATTTTTGAGATATTTGAAGTTTGGAAACCAGATATTGAAACCAGCTTGTATGTGTTAGGGCTTTCTTAAGTAAAATTAAAATTTATTCAATTGGAGTTTTCAAAGTGTATATATTACTGAAAAGGGCATGACATTTTCTATCAAATGATGATTTATAACAGTTTCAGTCCAATACAGTGAAATTAAATTTATATTGGGTTCAGAAAAAAGTAACAAAGCTGGTTCTATAAGGAAAGGAATGTGGTTAGAGGGGTCGAGTTCTTTTTGAACAGCTTTAAAATTCATTTATGGGTGGTCCCATAATTTAACAACAATACAGTAGGGGAAAGAGCATGTTATACAGGTCAAGTAAAAAAATTGGAGGGCTTGGCAAAGTCGTTGAAGTAGAGTGGAGAAATAAGCTAAGCAGAGAGATAAAAAACATAGAGAAACTGCCAGACAACACCTCGATTGATTGTATTAAAAATTGTATCTTTTCTTTCTTATTGTTGTATTATAAAATACTTAAATTGTAAATTTAAATATGCATATAGGGACTGCTGCACAAACTCCGAAAATTCCTACCACCTACATACATCCTCATTATCTGTTCCTACCTTACTGATAGATACTTTAAAGTAAATCACAAAAACGCCTATTCATCCCTTTTTCCCCAGTTCGCCGGTGTTCCTCAAGGTAGTATCCTAGGTCCTATCTTATCCTATCTTCTAAACAGTTTATACAGCTGACATCCCAACACTGTTATCACCACATATGCCGATGACACATGTATCTTATCAGTAAATAATGACCCATCAATTGCATTGTCAAAACTGGAGAATTAAAATAAACTCCAATAAATCCCACCAAATTACCCTTTGTCGTAAACCAATGACTTCCTGTCCTACAGTTTCCTTTAACAATACTCCACTTATCCCTGTTGAGCAAATCGCAAATCTGATACCTAGGACTTCACCTGGACAAACGACTAACTTGGAATCCTCATACTAGACTGAAACGACAAGAAACCGCTTGACGTTTTCGATTACTTCAGCACTTTCTAGTTCTAAACTTCCAATTAATTACCAAAGACTCATATACATGACTATAATAAGGGCTATTTGGACTTACGGAGTTGAGCTATAGGGCTCCACTAAACCATCGAATTCCTCTCGTATCCAATCCTTAAAATCCAAAATCCTTCGTAAAATCCTCAATGCTCCCTACTTTGTTACAAATAAAACCATCCACAATGACCTCAATGTTTCTTTTATTTCAGATCTGGCCCAATCCAGATACCTATCCTTTCATAATAAACTTCAGAATTATCCCAACCCTCTCATTTCTAACCTTGCTTCCTCTTCAATTCCTGATAACCCACCGAGGTGTCTGAAAAGAAGATGGCCCTGTGATCTCCTAATGTAGACATATCATTAGAGTGCTACCATTGGATAGTTACTCAGCAAGTGTTTTCATGTCATTATATCCATATGTTCAAATTTACTAGATGTATTCATTTAATACAGTTGTAAATATCATTCAAGAAATAACAAAAACAAAAAAAAATATACATATATATATATATATATATATATATATATATATATATATATATATATATATATATGCATATTAATTGTAAATACTTTTTTTAATAAAGTTTAATAGCGATAACATATATTGATCAAAGCTCAAAAAAACTGTTATTATAACGGCTCTTGGTGGCCAGGTGATCTTAGGATCTCTACTCCGTCAGAGTGCAGACCTTTACGCAGATGGTCAGTATAAGTATCATATACGCTTTTGATCGTATCATATATGCTTTACCTTAGTCTGCTCTTCTTATTTAACAATATTCTGATACCTTTTTCCTCTTCTCTTACTCCATGCAAGTAGGGCGCTGATCTGTCCGCTTGCAGTCCTATATACTAAGTCAGGAGATTGATCCCTCCAGTTGTGGTTACCATCCTTGCGGAGTGTTAAGGCTGATCCCTTACACTGCAGACCAAGAGTGGTTCAGGTGCAGATACGTCTGACACTCGAGGTCATCTATCTATTCATCTTCCTTCATCCGGAGGTCATCTTAACCTCTGTAATGAACACGCACTGTCGAGGCCTTCTGATAACTGTTAGCCTCTGCATATATACCTCGACACTATCATACTATGTTTTACATATACAGAATTTGTTTGATAAATGCTAAATTGGAAAGGTATAAACGTTAAATGATGTGACTTATAAAGTGTAATTTGTTCAAATTTGTTAATGCCTGTTCGATTGTGGTGTTTAGTTAAAGAATCTGTTTAATATAACAAGTTAGAATCTTAAATGTGAATTTTATATGTAAGTCAATAAGATTTGTCAGTACCTATTGTACTATGCTTAATATTCATAGAAAATTTTATATTTTCTTTCTTATTGTTGTATTATAAAATACTTAAATTGTAAATTTAAATATGCATATAGGGACTGCTGCACAAACTCCGAAAATTCCTACCACCTACATACATCCTCATTATCTGTTCCTACCTTACTGATAGATACTTTAAAGTAAATCACAAAAACGCCTATTCATCCCTTTTTCCCCAGTTCGCCGGTGTTCCTCAAGGTAGTATCCTAGGTCCTATCTTATCCTATCTTCTAAACAGTTTATACAGCTGACATCCCAACACTGTTATCACCACATATGCCGATGACACATGTATCTTATCAGTAAATAATGACCCATCAATTGCATTGTCAAAACTGGAGAATTAAAATAAACTCCAATAAATCCCACCAAATTACCCTTTGTCGTAAACCAATGACTTCCTGTCCTACAGTTTCCTTTAACAATACTCCACTTATCCCTGTTGAGCAAATCGCAAATCTGATACCTAGGACTTCACCTGGACAAACGACTAACTTGGAATCCTCATACTAGACTGAAACGACAAGAAACCGCTTGACGTTTTCGATTACTTCAGCACTTTCTAGTTCTAAACTTCCAATTAATTACCAAAGACTCATATACATGACTATAATAAGGGCTATTTGGACTTACGGAGTTGAGCTATAGGGCTCCACTAAACCATCGAATTCCTCTCGTATCCAATCCTTAAAATCCAAAATCCTTCGTAAAATCCTCAATGCTCCCTACTTTGTTACAAATAAAACCATCCACAATGACCTCAATGTTTCTTTTATTTCAGATCTGGCCCAATCCAGATACCTATCCTTTCATAATAAACTTCAGAATTATCCCAACCCTCTCATTTCTAACCTTGCTTCCTCTTCAATTCCTGATAACCCACCGAGGTGTCTGAAAAGAAGATGGCCCTGTGATCTCCTAATGTAGACATATCATTAGAGTGCTACCATTGGATAGTTACTCAGCAAGTGTTTTCATGTCATTATATCCATATGTTCAAATTTACTAGATGTATTCATTTAATACAGTTGTAAATATCATTCAAGAAATAACAAAAACAAAAAAAAATATACATATATATATATATATATATATATATATATATATATATATATATATATATGCATATTAATTGTAAATACTTTTTTTAATAAAGTTTAATAGCGATAACATATATTGATCAAAGCTCAAAAAAACTGTTATTATAACGGCTCTTGGTGGCCAGGTGATCTTAGGATCTCTACTCCGTCAGAGTGCAGACCTTTACGCAGATGGTCAGTATAAGTATCATATACGCTTTTGATCGTATCATATATGCTTTACCTTAGTCTGCTCTTCTTATTTAACAATATTCTGATACCTTTTTCCTCTTCTCTTACTCCATGCAAGTAGGGCGCTGATCTGTCCGCTTGCAGTCCTATATACTAAGTCAGGAGATTGATCCCTCCAGTTGTGGTTACCATCCTTGCGGAGTGTTAAGGCTGATCCCTTACACTGCAGACCAAGAGTGGTTCAGGTGCAGATACGTCTGACACTCGAGGTCATCTATCTATTCATCTTCCTTCATCCGGAGGTCATCTTAACCTCTGTAATGAACACGCACTGTCGAGGCCTTCTGATAACTGTTAGCCTCTGCATATATACCTCGACACTATCATACTATGTTTTACATATACAGAATTTGTTTGATAAATGCTAAATTGGAAAGGTATAAACGTTAAATGATGTGACTTATAAAGTGTAATTTGTTCAAATTTGTTAATGCCTGTTCGATTGTGGTGTTTAGTTAAAGAATCTGTTTAATATAACAAGTTAGAATCTTAAATGTGAATTTTATATGTAAGTCAATAAGATTTGTCAGTACCTATTGTACTATGCTTAATATTCATAGAAAATTTTATATTAGCCAAATAGGATAGGCAGATACATTATGATGTCAATTTTAGTGTATTAGTTTAATTTAATAATATTTGTAAATAGCTGTAA